AAAAAAAAAAAAAAGTAAAAAAAAATGAAGTCTACAAATAAGCAACACTTCATCACCTAAGAACTTCAGAGTCCCTAGAGAGATCTCAGAATATATTACTTCTGAAAGCCAAAATAGACTCACTCTCATTTGGGGTGGAAATGTCTGTGTGTGCACACGCACATACATAGAAAATGGGAAAACAGAGGACTGAATGATTATTCTTTCTTCCCATTTGATTCTCAGATATTGGGCACAACCCAGTTTTCCTCACTAAACTTGACAGTCTTGACTTTTGCTTAAGTGCTTGTTTAAATAAAAACTGTCCAGTCATGTTTTTTTCTATGAAGATATATAAATTATCATGTAGTTTATAAGATATATAGTTAATGCTTACTGTTTACAGATAGTAGGCTTTAAATGCCACTGTCCTATTTCTGAATTGCAATTGTCATCGGCAAGGAATCCATCATCACTACTATCATCCTATAAAAGAGAGCTTACTGTTAGTATTGAAAATACACAATCTAAATAATATCCTAACAAAACAGAACTACTGAGGATAAAAATCTTTATAATGTAAAAAATATTCCAAGTCAGGTGATCCAACACTAGAAAATTGGTATGTCACTTGATTCCAATTATCTGATGCCACAACACAGACATTTTAATGAAACTACAAATCAGAGGTCTCTGAAAAACTGTTACATCATTTACTCAAACTAGAATAACTTTTTAAAAACTGAATATATTATAACTGATTCTTTTCCAGTCTAATACTACTGCTCTGATTTTAGGTATTTCTACAAAAATTAAGTTAGTTGGCTAAGACAACTGTTTCACAATAGGACATGAGTGACTTTTATTTATTATTTTACATAATTTTTAAATCAGAAATACTTCAAGGGTTTTTGGAAACACTGTTTTCCTTAACAAAACCATATATCCATACTTCACTTGAGAGAAGACAACATAATGATACCTTGAATGTAAAACAAACAAGGTTTTTTTTGCTCTGACAACCTTATGAACGAAATAACTGCTTTGATCAAAGAAGCCTGAGTGCTCATTATAGACGTTAAATGTAATCCATATATGTTGGAGAGAAAAACTTTATTTTATAGCTACACATTGTAGACTTTTCAAATATCACCAAAAAAAAAAAAAAAAAAAAAAAAAATGGCTTTTGCTCACAAGAGGATTAAGCAAGATGGAAAAATGATGCAGTCAAAGCTATCTTCACTACTAGATAAATTCAGTTGGCCCTAACAACTAAAGAAAGGTTAGAGAGCTAAAGAAAAGGTATGCTGTAGGATTCTTGTAAACTTTCCTGTCAATATAAAGCTCTTTTAACTAAAGTTATAAAGTATTTCAATAATATACTTTATTCTAGGTGTTAGTAAAGTTTATTAGAGCAAGTGAGACATTAAGTAAATATCAGAGTTGACCTATGTTACTTTTAACTGATTATCTGCTGCTGCCATATATACTAAATTGGACACCAAAAAAAAAAAAGAAAGAAAAAAATCACTGGAAACATGGAAGTAGTAATATAATAAAGTCATAATATAATCAAACCTAACCATTTGCCTTTTGAATGTCAAGTTAGACCAAAAGTTAAGTATGGCCAATAAATGATTTAACAGAGGAAGAGAAAGGGGTGGTAGGTAGGGGAGATGGCTGTTGGTGTGAAAGAATTTATTGCATATTAAAATGTTCTGGTGGGTATTATTTCATCCACAATGGGGGGAAAAAACAACTCAAAACTAAAATAAAACACCACTAATACAGTTTACCCTAGCAACTTCTGAATTGAAAACCCAAGTCCAGATGCACGAGTTATTGGTTAAAGGAACTACATAGGACTCCAAGGAAAAACATTTAATTAATTAGATAAAACATTAGAACTTTTTGCCAAGCAGGTTTGACCTGGTTATCCTGATCTTCTGAGAAGTCGATGAGTTCATCTTCAAGCATTTTACTAGCTTCAGCTGATTCATCACTATAGTTTAGCCTGATTTTGCTTAAGCCATCTGTATTAATAAGAAACATTATGTAATGAAAAAGGCCATGCATATAACTTATGGTATACAGGCTATGTTAGGCAAGTAATCAATAAAGGATATAGTAATTAAAGATATAAAATCTACCTTAGCATGTAATATCCAAATATAAAATAAATTACTTTTAATAAAACCCTGGGTTGACATGTCAATTACAGAGTAGTTTCTATTATTCAGACACTAAAATTCATTAAAACTTAAAAACTAGGTATCAATTATATGATTAAATATAAATGTATATTTAAATACAAATATGTATGTATATACATATATATGTATATACATAAATGTTTTTGTGCTAGGTATGTCAGATATCTTTAACTAATAATGGAAGCTACACTAGTCAGAAAACAACCTAAATGTATAATAATAAGACAGCAAACTGTAGAACAGAAAATGAAATACTGTACATTTTAAAAACTAAAACTGTGAAAATGAAAAAAATTTACAATACAGGGTAAAATATAAACATGATTAAAGTTAAGTAAAATAGGCTTGCTTTTAGACAAATAATAAAAAGACAAAAAATGAAAATAATCTTCGTGTTAGGATAGTAGTTACAGATGAGTACCTCAACTCCGTATATTTATCCTTCATGTCTGGTTATATTCACAGACTTTTCAATAAAATAAAACAACACAAGCCTGATGTAGATGCTGGTAGTACAAAAATAAATGACTCATAAAAAATTTAAAATGAAGAGGTTTAAAGATCCATTTCAAGAATCATTTTAAAAATAAATTATTCTGCTGCAAGAAGCTAATCATGCAAAATGTTTCAAAAGAGCGTATGATTCGCATGAAAATAATGAAAACCAAGTCAGGCACTTTAATGCCAACTATACCAAAGAGCATACTGTTTCCAATTTTAAAAGCATAATTTTAAGATAGGATAAAATTTATTTTAGCATACAACTTTAACATGGAATTAAGAATAGTAATCTATGAAAGATGGGATGAGAAAACAGAAATAGAATGTGCTCCTAAAAAGACATATAAAAATGTAAATGTGATCAAAAACATATTACTTAAAATAACTAATAAAGCACTATGGTAAATCCTTTAGTTATGCAAAAAATAACTTTTAAAATTTATCTTTTCACCAACCTGTATTTTATATTTGAAGCTAAAACAACTATATTTAAATAAAATTTGTTCAAATCCTCAAGCAATTCAGAATTAGGCAATTACAATTAAGTTATTCTAGCAGCAAATTATTTCTACCTACAAAACTGTCATATAAATATGAAGTTCATATGAATTAAACTGTATGAGCATTTGAAATGAAGAACAATAATTTAAATAGTGTGGTCAATTCCTTCAATAATTTCATTCAGTAAACAAATGCCCTGATATAAACTGAGAGGTGATAACTCCATCAGCTATTCTCTCAATCAGTCCCAGTTCCTGAGAGCTTCTCAGTGAGATCATTTGAAGATGTTGAGTGTGAGTCTAGAGATTAAACATACACATTTTTCATGTTCTATACAACTATTTCATGTGGTGCCCAATTGAAAAAACAGCAAATGAAAGTAGTGATATCACATACTTTCCTACAGTTGGCCTTTAAGAAAAAAAAAGAGAACCTAATTCCTGTGATGATACAATACCACTTATTTACTACAGCATGTTATCTGACATCAATAGACAACACTTCTGACTATGTATGATGGTTAAAATTATATTAAAACTGTCTAAAATGCTTCATTAAATCCTGCCAACTATACTCCCAGCCCAAACAGAAATCAATTACTGAGATATTAATCATGTCACAAAAATTTTTACAAGCTTTTTGTATCCTAATTTTTAGTAGTCATCATTTTATATAGGATAGACTGCTTAACAATCCTCTCTGAGGTAGTCAAGTTACCTCAAGAGAATAGTCTTATTTAATGTGCTTCTTAATGAATGATTCCTTAGAAACATCTGATGAAAGCTATAGGACCTCATTCCTGAAAATTGCAGACCCTCTGTAGAGCACCAAATTTCAAACTATGGGACACTATCACTACTGGATTAATTTAAGCATTAAAAGGAATAGAAAGTATCAGTGTATCACACACAATAAAGGTAAATTAATTTCCTTTAAGGAAGATATTACATATATACTAAAAAAAACAACAAATGCACAAACTGTAATAAAAAAGAATACCTAGAGTAAACAAATATTAAAAAGGCAAACTACATAAAACAGATTATTCCTTACTGTGGTCTTCACTATGTTTGTGAGACTATTTACCCAACTTTAACTGGCTTCTAAAACTTTAACTAAGGACTGGAACATTAATTTGCACCAGAAGGCCACTAGGAATTTCTGGTTTGTGTATATGAAGCCCTAGGTTTTTGTCTCATTGCTTGGTTTTTAAAATCATGCACTTTTAATTCATTTTTAATTTGAATTCACATTAAAGTGGGTGAAATTACTGATCAAAGGGGAGCTTAAAAAAATAGTTCAATGAAGATATACTTCATATACCATTCCCCTTTCTGCCTCTTATCTTCAAAAGGGCACAAAGATCAACACTCTAGTGCTATTATTAGCTTTATGCAGCTTAGTATGTCTAACTAAATACAAAATAAAAATATTTTTATGAGAGCTCAGCAACAGCTTTCTGACTTACTAAAATAAGCTGGTAGAAGTACCAAGAATATGTTCACCATAACAACTTCTGATATTCTGAATTCACATATGTTTTTCTATGCCTTATACTGACCTTTTTCCTCCAAAGAAAGTATATTAGGATCTATTCACAGTTTAATAAGTTTACAAGGTGTATACTATAGCACGTTATGGGTTTAATGGAGTAGACTATTTCACTTTGGGGTTGGAGAGGAAATTATATAATCGACTTCACATGAAAGTTAAGTATTTGAACAGAAACCTCAGATTTCCATAACAAGTGCTAGAAATATGGAACTGATTCAAGAAAAGAACTAATTTATTAAAACTGAAGGGAAATAAAGAGAGGCTGGACCAGTGCCCTTCTTCCCACTAAAACAATAAAGGAGAGGGAGGAAAAAGGAACTAACCTTTAATTTCAATGTCAACAACTATATAGGAGGAGAAAGCTTTCATTTCCGCCTCTGGCCACTTGATCTCCATTTGCCTATCTGTAAATTAAGAATACTGAACTAATTCACCTTACAGATCTAAGACTGTGCAATTACTGTTTATCCTGAATATAGTAAATTTCCTATGAAACAAAAAATCCAAGATCCGATCGATCAATGGAAAATGCAGACCTTGTACTACAATTTTAAAACTGCACTCTCTATAAAGGTGAGGGGAGAAGACTGATTGTACGAGGGAATTTTTTTTGAGTGATGGAAAGTTTCTAAATCTTAACTGTTATAGTGATTACATAACTATACACATTTATCAAAGCTCACTGAACTATACTTACAAAATGAAATGTTACTGTAAGTAAATTATATTTCAATAAATCTGACTTTTTTAAAAAGGTGTACCCTGGAATCTTAATCCTGTTTATAAAAGAAATCCAATTTAATCTGAATTCCTTGATTCTTTCAAAACATTTAGAAACATACCTGTATGGTGCACAGAACTTAAATATTCACTCTGTAGGCCATTCTCACTTTTAGTCCTATCAACAACTTTCTGGCATGCAGATTCTCCTTTATTTGATTCTTCATTTTCACTTGCAGTATGATTTATTTTTTTCAGACTACATTTCACACTGCACATGTTTCTCCGATAACGAGGGTCACTTTCTTCCTGTTCAGCACTTGAATCAATTACAGCTACGCAATGCTTTTTGTTTAGCATCTTCTTAATTACAGGCTTGGCAGAAGAGTTTTGTGAACAACTGTCCATTTCACTGGCTGAAGGAGAAGAAATACAACTGTCCTCTACAGTTGAACATTTTTGCATGGCTGTATTTTCATGGTAATGAGGATTAGGTTCATACTTTGGTTTTTCCAAACCAGGGAAACAAACAACAGCCAAAAACCAGTGTGCACTGTAAAAAACAAATGAAACTACTGAATATATTATTAGAAAAGTTTATTATATTTGGCAATAAATATCAGTTGAAATGTTTTTCTAAAGCTTTTCTGAAAAATTTATTAAGCATGCCCAATTTTTTCAATTCTCAAATTAATCCATTGTTTATATGATCATTGACTGATTAACAGGATAAAATGTCCAGTCAAAAATAACGTAAGTTTGGTTAGATTTTTGTAGCCTGTATTCACTTTTGCAAACAATCCTTTAAACCTTTTCTTGCTTGTAGAATAAAAAATTTATTTTTTCCCCCAGGTAATTTAACAAAATGTAAATTATATCATTGCAATTCATCATTCCCATTGACCTTCCCTTTGCCTTATTTATGTCAAAGGAGAGAAAACTATGTAGTTTTAAGATTAAAATGTCTTCAGAAATCTAATCAGACTGTGTAATTGTGAACATTTTCTAAATATTGTACATATATAGCTTTTTAAAAACTTTAACCATGTCTGTGTTTTTCTTAGTAAGGTAGGAACTGCTTAACACTGAAAGTACCAAATAATCCTTTGTCTCATGCTATGAAATGTAAATACACTAAAATGAAATAAAATATCTAATGTAATCATGTAACAGAACTTAAAGTATTAGTAGAGTTCCAGCTATTATGTAGATGCTCATGATATAGCTGAATTCAGACACTACAGCTCTCAACAGTAGGATATAAGCCATGAGTAAGAAGCTATACAGCTAATATTGGCTAAAAGTCATTAATCTAATGAAGAATTTTATTAAGGGCTTACTATTTGCTAGGTAGTGTTATGTGCTGGGATAAAATGAACTGGCCAGAGATGTCGGAGAACTTAATAGCTTGAGCACAATATCTGTCATATAGTAAGATGCTCAATAGGTATTTTCTGAATGAAAAAATGAATATAGTGATGTGGATAGAAGTTATGCTACATTCTCATTTCTGTAAAATGTTAAATTATCCCAAGGTAATACTAAGAAACAACACTGTCTCTTCACTGGACAGCGTAAGTAGAAGGATCACAGGGGCTGGCTTCATCCTCAGTATTGTAAAGGGCAGATGGAGGCATGCTTCTCTCCTGTTCTTAATTATTAATCCTCAGGATCCTATGGACTTAGGTCAGGCTAGGGTGGTAGAAACAGCAGCACACCCACTTCCTCACTTCAACTCTAAAACATAGCTGACTGTAAGTCACATCTCAATTTCAGAAATGTTAAAAATTATGTCTTAAAATTGACTAAATACAGTATAATACAGTGACTCTCAACCTATAACTGTAACCTAAGTTTATCACAGGTTTTAATATTTCTTAGTTATGACAATGTGAATATAAGCCATAAATTTTCTAATGCCTCACCAAAAAACTAGGAAAATTCTTTCTTCACCTAGCTGAAAGGAGAAAGCTGAAAGAAACGCCTGAGATCACTTTCAATCTCTAAGAGCCAGGGTTTTGCTTTTACGATCCTTTTAGTAGCAGCTACATTGAGCTTAAATCGCCAGTGGGACAAAAGGCTAAAACAGGTAATTTCACTTATCTGAAGATGGATTAGATCCAAATATCAAGTTTCTGCCCCTTGTTAATTACTGTGACAATTTTTAACAAACAGCTTTTAACCAGAGAGAAATTAACATCACCAGGAAAATTGAAAATAAAACAGATGACAAATATATGGCAGTCTATGTAATCGAATCAGTGACTAAACAACTGTGGCTTACCTCTTCAAAAAAACAAAACAAAACAAGACCAAATGACCCCTCATGATTTGGAGGCTATTCTTCCATCCACAAATGGCACAGTACCCTTGCAGAATCCTTTTCGGACTTCACATCTTTATTCATTCTCTACTTTTCACCAAGATTATTGGAAGCACTGGTCATAGTTTCCATCCATACCAGACAGAGTGACTAAGAAGAATGTGCCTCTATTGCTAAATCGTGTGTATCTCAAATTATATTTTTATTTAAAATTTTAATAATTCATTTCTGACAAATGGCTTTCTATGTATATATTCTCCATTTCACCTAGTAGGCAGATCACATATTACTTTATATAACAAATATATGGCAAGAAACCTTATTTAGAGATGAATGAAAAAACTGAAGATTAGTTTTTAAACTGTTTGACTTTGACTATATATGGCTTTGAAAAAGTTGGGCTTTATCACCATAAGCAATGTTTTGACCTAGCCTACCTATCTTTAGAGAGCACAGATCTTATAATTAAAGCAGGATTTTAAATAGTTTGATTACTATACAGTGAATTTGTTTTTCATACTGAGAAGAAAAAAAATATTCAGAAGCTAGCATGGCATAGCTAAGCGTATGACATAATCTCGCAGAATAGCAATCTCAGACAAGGCTATTCTGCAACCATAATAAAATAGGACAAAGCAAGGCCATTTCATAATCTGTCTAAACAGAGACAGAGAAGGTCACAATACAACCCCTAAAACATCAAAATCCCCCTTTTTTTGCTCAAGGAGTGAATGCTACTTCTTTACCCAAGCAAACTACTGCTTCTTTAGATCTTCCCCCAAATTACCAAAACAAAGCCCAAATTCTGTTACAGGCTCTTTCACACACACTTTCACTGAGAGGCTCCATGGCTGCCCATGGTATGTATTCTACACTGATACAAGTAAAGAGCCCAAAGTTATCCAACCACAGGTGTATTCCTGGAGGTCTTTGACTGGAGGGCATAGGAAAACAACAACAACAAAAGAAATACAAACACACTTAAGGCTAAGTTGTATAATAATACTGTCCTACACATTAATGCCTCTTTAGCCATTGGGGGAAAATAACACAAAATGTTTAACCATCCCCTTTTACTTAGAAAATAGCTTTGAGTAGTCAGCATGGTTTTCAACTTGAGAAAATGGCATAAACCTTGCCATCTTTTCTTCTTGTTAAGAGCCAAAGTATGTTTTAAACTAAAAACTCAAATTCTTCTATGGGACCTAATCATCCTCCTGTATAAAATAACTTTTTCTATAGGATGTTTGCTAGACCACAAGCACCGTTTTTAAAACCGACATTATTCTACATGGACCAATAAAACAAAATTAGAAAGATCTCTTGTCTAGTGTTTGTAAAATTCAGTATCTTACATGATTTACTGAAAAACTGCATTAATTTTCATAAAATAAGCAGTATAAATATAGATATGCATAACAAATTTCAAGAAGTTTAAAAAGGATGAATTCTTCACATCCTAAACACATTTTCTAAAAACTGCCACCACATTTAAAGAAAGGGATTTCTTACTCACGCTTCATTAAGGGGTACAAAAATAAAATCCTTCTCAAAAATATCTACATGCCGGGTCCATGTTTTTACTCTCCCATGCCGCTTTTGCTGTATTCTGTAAGGCAAGAGATAGACTATCAAGTTTCTGAAATGTTCCTAGTGTTTAAGCTTATATGCAACCATTTATAAATTATGAATATTAAGATGTAACAGATCTAACAGTTGTATAAGATGGTTTAACAAGTTGGGGAAAGAAAACAGAACATCTGAGATAAAGCTAGCAAGGCATGAAACTGTCCATCACTGAATCTGGAAGAAAGGGATATTTGATTCCTGCTACTACATACCAGGGTAAACCAGTGCTAATATTGTTTATTATTGTAGAAATGGATCAAGCAATCAGATTGAGAAGCAAATCAGATCATGACATATGATAACTGTGGAGGAGAGAGCAGGAAAAGTGAGCTTCATCTTACAGTAGATGGAGAAGAATACACTATGACCACTGGTCAAAACCAATCAATGTCATCAACTCTAAGATGCCAAATTAGGAATCAATGAACTAGTGGATAATACTATTTGTATTACACACATCAGCCCTCAATTCAAGACATTTAACAGCACTTCTGACAAAAATATACCAACTCTCTGTGTGTATATTTTGACCAACTACCAACAAGAATCAGTACTGGATGCGATCACTAAATGGAGAAGAATTATAAACAAATATCCTCAGGCCTTTCAGGCCCAATATGTAGAACAGTATTCCTTAACTTATCTGAGAAGAATCATCCAAAGAACTTATTAAAAGTACAGATTCGCAGATTCCTCTCTTAGATAGTACGGATGGAACATCTAGGGTAAAACAGAGCAATCTGTATTTAATAAGTATCCACGTAATTTGTTTTAAACCATCAGGCTTATTTGGGAAATACTGATGTAGATATTACATCTAAAACCTTTATGAATTCCACGTATTCTTAAGGCTTTTGAATATTGATCCACATTTATATTGGATCCAATCCAATATTATGATTTTGCTAATTGATAACAAATCATGTCGCCGCAATATAAACAAGTAATTTTTACAAAAATGTTTTTATTGATTTTAGAAAGAAAGGAATGGAGAGGTGGAAAGGGAGAAACATCGATCAGCTGCCTCCTGAGGACTGAGCCCACAACCCAGGAATGTGCCCAGACTGGGAATTGAACCGGTGACTTTTTGGTCTATGGGACCCTTTTGGTGCATAGGACCACACTCAACCAACTGAACAACACCGGCCAGGGCACAAATAAGTGATTTTTTTACTAAGTTAAATTTGAGTAACTTGTTATATCTATTAAATATTTTCAAAGAGCTTGACTTACGATAGATTAGTTGTTTCATGAAGACTTCTCCTCTCTCTCTGATTAAGGCGTTTATAGAAAAAAGAACTGAATATATGAATTCGGTCAGCATCTTCTTTCTTCAGTTTTTCAAGCACCAAATATCTATTTTATAAAAGATAATTCCAATATAATGAATATAGCAGTTTACCTCACACTAAAAGCAATCAGGCAGTAATTAAATATCTATTTAGCCACCATCAATCTCACTCCTTAGAACAGGAAGCAGCAAAGTTTACTTCTATTCTAAACAATAACTACCAGATAATTCTCAAGTAATGAAAAGTATGTTTGAGAGTAAAACTGTGATTTGAAAGATCTAATATTTTAAAACAAGGGCACATTCACAAACATTCATAACAACATTACTTCTAATAGCCACAAAGTGGAAATGCCAGAAATACTCATCAACTAATGAATGGAAAAATAAAATGTGATATATCCATACAATGAAATATACTCAGCAACAAAAATAAAGTACTGATACATTCTGTAACACTGAGGAATCTTGAAAACACTGTGCTAAGTGAAAGAAACTAGTTAAAAAGGAGCACATGCTGTATAATTCCATGTATATGAAATATTCAGAACATGCAAATCCAGAGACAGAAGAGACTAGTAGTTGCCTAGAGCTGGGAAAGGGGTTGGAGGGAAATGAGAAGTCACTGCTGAAGGGTATTGGGGTTCTTTTGGGGGATAAAAATATTCTGAATATTGACTGCAGTGATGATTGCACAACTGTGAATATACTAAAACCACTGAACTGTATACTTTAAATGAGTGAACTGTATATTATGTGCATTATATCTTAATATAGCTATTATTTCTATGTGCTGCTTATTTTAAATAGTTCAGTTAGTAAACCATGAAGACCTAGCCATATATTACTTTTTATAAAAACAGAAAATAGAAAGAACCTATACAGTGGTGAGGTTGTAACAATGATTCATTAAAGTGGCTTTATATTGGTTCTAATTTTTCCTTGCTTTAGTTTTTTCTTTAGGTCTTCATCAAAACAAATAGCAATTAGTTCCTTGATACATTAAATTTGTTTATGTTCCAAATCCTCCAAGGAGCTATGTAAAAATCAAGCTCATACTATATTCATTTCATTAAAATGAGGATAATCTGAAAGCCTTGTGAAATCTTACACAGAAACAGCAAATGTCCCAGAGGGAACACCTTGAGACATGTCACTTATCATAATATTTGATAACTTTAAAGCTCAAGTTCTGATGAAAAGAACTTAACAAAATTTCTTGCTTTAGGGCAACTCAGTGTGCCCCTACAGAAGAAATAAGACAGTGAGTGAGTCATCTCATGACACAGTGTAAATCAATCACCGTATTTAACAATAATATACTCAAAACAGAGCATGCAGTACTCTTACCGGTCTGGCTCTGTGGTTAGAGTGTCGGCCCACAGACTGCAGGGCCTTGGGTTCAATTCTGGTCAAGGGCACCTACCTCGGTTGCTTGATCCCTGGTCTGGTTGGGGCACGTGCAGGAGGCAACCTGTCTCTCTCACACTGATGTTTCTCTCTGTCTCTCCCCCTCCCTTCCACTCTCTCTAAAAAAAATCAATGGAAAAAAATATCCTCGGGTGAGGATTAACAACAAAAAGGGCATGTAGTGAACTAGATTTGAGTTTAGGAGCTGTATGATAATTAGTGAACCCTGCATCTTTCACAAGAAACGTAAGGTGTCCCTAAACTATAGGATGAAGTCAAATCTAGTTTTTACTTTGTAAAACTGAATCAAATAAACAAAGGGATAATTCAACTTAAAAAAGGAAAGTTATTTGTGATTTAAGAAAATGGATTCTCAACTTCATATATAAACAAATCCATGCCTTGTAAAGTAACTAGTTTGTTTTTCTGATCTGATATACATCCACAAGTATTTCTGTGACTATATATAGTTGTTCTTTTAATGTACATATGTTTGAACTAGTAACACGTCTTTATTTTAGAATTAAAGGGAAAATTCAAGTTTATTGCAAATATCTTGTGGGAATTTCTTCCATTTGGATACTTTTTTTTCTTTCTGTATAAATCACTTAAATATTGAATGTCATAGCAAAGCTGTTCACTTGGTATTTCAAAAAGTGAACAAGCTAACAATCAAATCATGACTTCTTTAACTAGAGGATGAAATTAAAAGACTATTTTAAGGTTACTCTATAACTCTATGTGACTTTGAAAGTAATTTTTATTCAAGTAATTCTTTTCATCTCTGCATTTCATTAACATTCTCTAGATTCAATGCCCTTCTACTTCCTATAATATCGGCAAACTTCGTTTAAAAGTTTGCTTCTAACTTGTAGAGTCAGAAATAGAAAAGAATGAGCAGTTTCAGTAGCAGCCAAATAACTGATTTAATAGTGAAGTTTAAAAAAACTTTCCAATTTAAAATTCACTTCTAAGAATGTCACAAGACAAATGTAAGGTGTCCCCCAAAATGTATATGCACACTTTGAATAATTATAAAGGCAGTGTTTATTAAAATACATTTCATTTTCAAAATTGAGCTATCAGCTGTTAATGTATACATTTTTTTTGGACACCCTGTATAAACAGGTTTTTTTTAAATCATGGATTTTGTTAGGTTTTCTTTTTTTAAAATTTGGAATACTGATTTGCATCAGAAAAGACAGAACTTGTAGATAATTAAGTTGACTGTTTAAAATTTGTTTTAAAGTTTAACTATTAAATGTCAAGGGGCCTCCTGAAAATATAAAGAATTTGAAGAGTATAAACAAATGACTACAAAATGTCTACTGTAATATAAACATTATATTATGTATGAAATGGAATAAACTAAAATATAAACAAAATATTAGGAGTTCAACTTAGTTTTTAGATCCATCTATATGCTTTCAAAAACAAACCATTTTAAATAAAAAGCAGGTTAAAAAGTGAACAGGTAAAGAAATACGTACCATGTACACATAAACCAAAAGAAAGCTAGAATAGCTATATTCATTTTGAACAAAGTGGGCTTAAGAACAAGGAAGATTATCAAGAATAAAGAGGAACATTACATAATAAAGGGATCAATTCTCCAAGAAGGCATAAACGTGTATGTGCCAAACAACAGGGATTCAAAATACATAAGGCAAAAACTAATAGACTTAAAAGGAGAAACAGACGAATCCATAATTATAGTTGGATATCAACCACCTTCTCAATAACTGATAGAATTAGTTATGTGGAAAATCAGTTAAGGGCAAAGATGAGCTGAATACATTGTCAAATAACTTGACCTAATTGACATTCACAGAACAATTCATCCAACAGCAGCATTGTTCTATATAGCTTGGTTTGTTAAGTATACAGCAGGATTAAGAGATAACATTTTTTAAATTATGGAAAAATATGTAAAATTTGCAATCTTAACCATTTTTAAGTGTACAGCTGAGAAGTGTTAAGTGTATTCTCACTGTTGTGAAACAAATCTCCAGAACTTTTTTTTTTTTTAAATCATCACCTGAGGATTTTTTCCATTGCTTTTTAGAGAGAGTGGAGGGGGGAGGAGAGAGAAGAACATCGATGTGAGGGAGACATATCAATTGGTTGCTTCCCACATGCACCCTGACCAAGGCCAGGGATCAAACCTGTAACTGAGGAAAGTGCCCTTGGCCTGAATCGAACCCAGGACCCTTCAGTTTGGGGGCTGATGCTCTAACCACTGGGTCAAACCAGCCAGGGCTCCAGGCTTTTAAACTTGCAAACTGAAACAAACTTTATATCCATTAAAATAACAATTCCCTGCCCCTGGTAACCACCATTTACTTTCATTTTCTATAAATCTGACTACTTCAAGTTACCTAAGTGGAACTACACAGTACTTTTATTTTTGTGACTGGTTTATTTCACTTTGCATAATGTCTTTTCAGATTCATCCATGTTGTAACAGCATGTGACAGGCTTGGTTGTTTTTTTAATCCTCACCTGAGGATATGCTTTTTAAAATTTTTAGAGAGAGAACAATATCAATGTGAGAGAGAAACATCAATCATTTGCCTCCTGTACTCGCCCTGACCCGCTATCTAACCCACAACCCAGGTATGTGCCCTGAGTGGAAATCGAGCCTACAAGCTTTTGGTGTATATGGGACAACGCTCCAACCAACTGAGCCACCTGGCCAGGGCCTTTTTGCTTTTTTAATCCTCACCCAAGGATATGTTTCTTTTGTTTTGTTTTTAATTGATTTTAGAGGCAGAGAGGAGGGAGAGAGGGGAGGGGGAGATGGAAAACATTGATGTTAGAGAGCAACATCAACTGGTTGCCTCTGTATACATCCTGACCAGAGATTGAACCTGAAACCTAGGTATGTGCCCTGACCAGAAATCGAACCTGCAAGCTTTTCGTGTATGGGACGATGCTCCAACTAACTGAGCAACTCGGCCAGGGCTCCTTCTTTTTTGGGGGGAGAATAATATTGCATTGTATGTATATACCACATTTTGTTTATCCACCAATCCATCAATGGACAGTTTGGGTTGCTTCCACCTCTTGACTATTATGAATAGTGTTCCTACGAACATGGGTATGTAAATCTCTCTTTGAAATCCTACTTTCAATTCTTTTGGCTATATACCCATAGATGGGATTGTTAGATCATATATGGTAGTTCTATTTTTAATTTTTTGAGGAACTACCATACTGTTTTTTGTACTGGCTGGATCATTTTGCACTCGCACCAGCAGTACACACGGTGTCATTTGTCCACTTTATTTTTCTGTATGGTTTTTGTAAATAGTTTTTTTTTAATAGTTGTCATCGTGATGGGTGTGAGATAACATCTCATTTTGGTTTTGATTTACATTTCTGATGATTATTAATGTCGAGGATCTTTTCATGTGCTTATTTGTCTATTTGTATAAAATAACATCTTTTGATTTAGCTATTAAAAACTGTTTGAGCCTGCCCAGGCGTGGCTCAGCAGTTGAGCATGGACCTAGGATCCAGGAGATCATGGTTCAATTCCCGGTCAGGGCACATACCCAGGTTACGGGCTCGATCCCCAGTCAGGGGTGTGCAGGAGGCAGCCTATCAATGACTACTCTCTCATCACTGATGTTTCAATCTCTCTCTCTTCCTCTCCCTTCCTCTCTCTGAAATCAATAAAGACATATATTTTTTAAAAAATAAATAACTGAACTTTTAATTGAATGACTGTTAGGTCTCAAAGGGGTCTATATCTGCAAAATTAGGCATTTAAAATCTATGACAGTTTCTCTTGCCAGCAAATCTATAACCCATTTGTAATTCACTGAAACATATTTCATCACCATTAACTCTGCAAAAGGAAAAATAGTGTCCTTGAAAAGGGGGTACAGTTAACATAAATAGGAATATAATGTTACCCCCAATGTTAAGTAAATCCTGTCAGTTGATAGTGTGGTCGCATTCTTCTGTATCCTTGTTGACTGTTTAGTTGTTCTATCAACTTCTGAGAGAGGGGAATTAAAGTCTCCAGGTATATTTGTGGACTTTTCTGTCTCTCGTTTTAGAGCTATCAGTTTTTGCTTTACATACTTTGTAGCTCTGCTGTATGGCACATACCCAGTAAGTACTGCTAGGTCTTTTTGGTGGATTCACTCATTTATCACTATAGAATGTCTCTATCTGATATTGTTAAGGTAACTTCTGCTCTCTATTAATATTTGCATGCTATATCTTTTTCCATGCTTTTCCTTTCAACATATATATATGTGTGTATATATACATATTATCTTTGAAGTGAGTTTTTTTGTAGGTAAGACATAGTTGGGTTGTGTTGTTTAATCCACTCTGCCAACAAATTTTACATGTGTTTATAATTGTTCATTAAAGAATTTTTGTGATGGATGCTTTAAAATCTTTGTCAGATAATTCTAATATCTGCGTCATCTCAGTGTTGACTATCTATTGATTGTTCTTTCTCATTCAGTTTGAAATCTCTGTGGTTCTTGGTGAGACAAGTAATTTTAGGTTAAAAACATTTTGAGTATTATAAGACTCTGGATCTCATTTAATTCTTATGTTTTAACAAGCTTTCGCTGGTACCACACACTCCAGTGCTTGAAATGGGCAGCAGCACCTCAATACCCAGGTGGCGATGGAGGATCAGGTTCTCCTCTCGGTCACCATTACATGGAGGGGCTCCATGTTACTGATGGATAGGGGTGGAGGGCTTCCCACAAGGCCTCCAGTGGTACCACCTCCACTGGATGAGGATGGGGAACAGTACCTCATTATCCCCTATGGACCAGGGTGAAGTCTGACTATATACTGACCCTAATAAGCCCAGGGTAACTCTGACCTCAAAATTATTCTTAGTCTTTATCCCCCTTGACCTCTGCGGTACTGAAACCATGTAATGTGCCCTCCATTAAAGCTTTCATTTCCCTTCAATTTTATGACATCATTCTCTCTAGATTTTTCTTACCTCTCAAATTTTACCTCTCAGAATTTATTCATGGGACCCTCTTTCCTCCATGTTTGTCTAACTCTACTACTCTCCAGGTTCTTCCTTATAGCTCTTTTTCTCATTTTGTACCCCTACCTGAACAATTTGATAAATTCTCGTAATTAAACTACTATTTGCAAAGTAAAAACTCCTAACTCCCTATGTCTCCAGCCAGAATTCAAATGACACCCAGAACCATATATTCAACTGTTTATTGGCACTGTCCCTTTTGTTGTATCAGACATCTAAAGGGATATCTTCCCCTCCCCTACTCAAACCTATTCTGCTTCTGCATTCATTGCTTCAACGGCAAAATCATTCAGCAGGTCTCCCTAGTCAGAGAACTAGGAGTTATTTGGCACCCATTTCTATCCTTCTTAATACCCATTCAATCAAGCTTGGGGTCCTGCTGAACAACTCTACCTCTTAAAACATATTTTTTCCCTTTCCCTCAAACAAAAATGACTTATTTAGGCTTCTCACATCACCTTAATTAAATTTCTTTAAATCTTCTCTCTTCTAGATGTCCACAATAAAAATGCTTGTCAAAATGATCTTAAGGAAACTCAATTATGGTATCACTTCTCTGATCAGAACTATCACTCTTTATAACAATGTTTTCTTTCCCCACACAGTGGATTGCAACCATTAGTAGGTTATAAAATCATTCAGCAGCTTTCAACAATCAGGTTTTTAAAAATCATTTTGTTTTATGAAATACATTTGAATAAACTAGAAAGTATTGTAGAACACTAGGCACACTGATACTTAAGTTGTTTTGTTTCATATATACACCATTTTATATCACAAACCAATAAACACATACAAATTTATACATGTATAAACACACTGCACATACATGTATATGCATGTGTATACTGGGTCATGATGTAAGCTCTTCCAGGAAAACTCCTTGATCCCTCATATTTCCCCATCTCTAGGGAGAATGAAGCATTTTTTTCTACTTTGTCTTCTATTAATGCTTTAATCCCATATTTGTGTTCCCTACAAGACCATAAACTTCTAACACAGTACTTTGTATACAGCTGGTACTTGGTGAATGTTTACTGAAGGAGATGAGTGAAATCATACTTTTGTGCTTGCTCAAGAAATTATTACCTAACCTAGGGTAGTAACAATTTTTAAAGGCTTAAAACACTGTAAAAATAACAACATAATAAGCTATCATTTATTAAGAGCACTTTGTATGTGCCAGGTATTTTTCCCAGTCCTTAACATGTATTATCTTATTTAATCTTTACAATGCTTTTAGATACGAGTATTCTCCCAATTTTTAAAATGAGGAACCATAGGTAGAGACATTAAATAACTTCCCACACCAAGTGGCAATGATCGAATTCAAAGCCCAAAGTTTTGACTCTAGAAAACAAAGGTACACATTATAGAATGTTAAAGATTTGCTAAAAGGTTGGTAGAAAATTAACTTACTTCAAATAAAAGTCTATAATAACGTCATTTAAAAATTCTCCTTCACTTAGACAGTGCAGGTCCTCATTAGTAACGGAGATGCCACCCTTAGCTGGAGGTGGTGGATATACTATCAATCTGTAACAAATTTGAAAAACAACAACAGATTATCAAATATGTATGTGTGTGTGTGTGTGTATAACTGAAATGTAATAAAACAGAGAAGAAATTTAAGAGTGTTGCAAATGTAAAGGAATTCTCTCACTTTTCTACAGGACCCATAAAGATGGTGTGACCTTCTCCAGTTTCTTCCTCATCATCATAAAACCGAAATTCTTGTTTGCTTCTAAGTTGTATTTTAGATTCCAGGGGCACCTGGAAAAGGAAATTAAATGATCAATTCAAAGACAATTGGGAAAATTTTCAATAAAAAGAGCAAGCACAAAGAAAGAATACTTTTCAATGAAAAAGGATTAAAAATATAAAACAAGAAAAACTAGGGTCCACTTTTTAAAAAATTTATAATTTCTGGTACAGTGATACTCTTCAATTTTTGAAACAATGGCCTCCAGTACCTTGTCTAAAATCTCTACTATCCATATTAAATTAGATTATGTTAGTAAAATCCAAAGAACAGACACAGTATTTTTTTCCTCCAGCAGTGGAGGCCTACCTAAGTTCGGCCGCTAGCGAATCCATAGGACATGGAGCAGAGGCAGAGGGAACACAGTTCTCCAGAGTTAAGGAGTTAAAGGAAGAGCCTTCTGTGAGCCCACTGAAGCTGCCTCATGGCTCTAGCTGCTTTTTTCCTCCAGAATTATCTTCTACAGATAATTTTGCAAAAGAAGGGGAATGATTCCCCTTCCTTCTTCTGTTCTTTTCCTCAACTCACTAACTATATGAGTAGCTCTTCTCTCATGAGGTCTTGTCTTCACTAAGACTATGCCTTGGATAGCCCTATCTCTAAGTGTGTAGCCAGGTTGAAAGATTTTTAAGTGTTCCCAATAAATTAACTCAGTAAAATTCAGTTGCCGTAGTAGGGGACAAATTTAGAGTATTTAAATTCTATTTGCATTATTTAACATTACACTGCTTGTTACAACAATTCTGTGCCTTTGATTCAGGTGACTTCAGAGTTACCTACTATATTAGTTATTCTAGAACTGGATACCTATGTTGAGAGTCAGGATGGTAGGTATTCTTCATTTCTTAAGTTTTCAACCATGTATGTACATGTTACATATAAATGTACAGCAGGTACCAAAATTCCTTTATTTGTATTGAAGCCAATGGTATCACTGGAAAACACCAGCAAATTTAAGAAACAGGGTAGTAACAGACTGGAATATATAGCAGTGTATGCATATGTATGTTGAAAGTCAGAAAAATAAGAAAAAAAGATGAGAGAAAAAGAAAAGGAGATGAAAAGTAAAGACAAGAATAGAGTATGGAAAGGAAATAAAAATGCTTCTAAGACCTGTACCAAGAACTATGTGTCACATGTCACCTATTCACCATTATATTTTGACACAAGATAGTTTGCAAATTGCATATAAAAGCAAATAATTCTGAAGTGGAATAAAAAAAAAAAATCTAACTCTGAAATGAATAGTGATGTAATAAAACATATTTCCCTTTAAAGCTACATGTTATTTAAAATTATATTTAAAAAATTAAAACACATAATTACATTTTTAATTTTGTTTTCTTTTTGCACACAACTGCCTTTGATGTTCTCTTCATAGGTTTTTGTACAGGCAACAAGTCTGCTATTGGCTTCTTCAAAGGGAATTTTCACAAAAAAGTTGGACACATTATTCTTTATACCAATTTCAGTAATGATACTTTCAAATACCGTATTTGCTTGAGGATCAAGGCCAGTTTGAAAAATTAAAATTATATACTGTTCTTCCAAACCTGAAAAGAAATCAACATAACTATAAGTCTAAAAGAAAAAAAAAAATTTAAATAGGAAGCTATTACAAAAAAGAGTAACAACTAGTTATTCCAAGACTATCACCAGAAATCTTGGTATCAATGTTCAAAACAGTGTTTGGCATACAATGGATATACAATAAATATGAAACAAAGACCAATGACAGTGTTACCTGACAATGTCACCTAAGTTATTAAGAGAAAGGAATCAGAACACATTACTCTAGCAGTAGCTCGGGAACAAATCTACTCATGGGTATGACTAATTTACTTCATCTAATAGGATCGAAATATATTTACAGTTTTAAATATATATCAAATAAAATTCTTATCAAACACAAATAAGAAATTTCCAAGTGAACTGATAGTATCTCTAGAGACTTTAATTGTAAAAAGGGCTATTCACTAATGTGCAAACTATTGCAGCTTTAACAACAGCTATCATTTATTCATCATTAAGCTAAAGCAGCAATTACTGCTGGAAAGTATTTATTTTACAACTAGTCATGCTATGCCATAAATGTTAGAGGTGAACACAAACTGGAGAACCACATTATTTTTTAGAGATTGGAGACACATTCTATGAACTTGCAAACTTCCTATTCAGGCTAAGTTTCAAGGATTCTAAATTTATATGGCTGATTTACACTTAGTACCTATGACTGCATTAAAAAAAATCATTTTATCTAACCACTATGTTGTACACCTGAAACCAATACAAAATAATATTGAAAGTAAACTGTGACTGAAATTTAAAAAAATCACTTTACTCAGATAATACAGGGTTAAAGAGTGCAGCAGATCTTTTCAGTTTTAACCATTTTAAAAACTTTCTCGATGGGCTAACCTGTGTTTTTATCATCAGACCTTCCACTTTACATGGGCTTTGCCTCATCTGTAAAATGGGAAAAGTAGTATCTATCTTATAAGTCCCTATAAGGAATACAATATAATGTAAGATAGTGTAATATAATGTAATCTAAGGGATCTACTAAAGTGTACTCACATTCTGCTATTCAATGAACTATGTGTTATTATAATCCGTTCTACGTAACTTACTTGTTAACCTATTTATTCCTTTACAACTACTCCAAACTTTATCATCCATATTCAACTGCAGCTGCATGCTCAGCCTCTGATAAACTGCTGGTATCGTCTGAAGAAACACTACTGGTAATTTTCGGACATTACACCATTCACATTTAGTTAGATCAGAGGTATTTAAAGTAATCCCTACAGGATCATTTTCTGGTTCTGGAGGAAAACAAATGGAAATGAAAAATGAATCAATCCTTAAAACAGCAATTCACAAATGAAAAGTGTGAGAAAATACAAGTTTAAAGTTAAACACATTTATTATGCTCTGTAAATAGTAACTTCTAGTGGAAAATGAAGAAAAATCTTTACAACTATCTTAAAGAAGCTTCTGCATTTTTTTCCCAAATGAAAAGAGGGTTCTAATGAAGTATACTTACAAAATTAAAGGTAAGTTTTGTGCTGTTACAGAATTAACATATTAAGATATATGCCTTTTGGTAAAAAGATGTAGTAACTAATCATCTTAATGAATTCTATAAATGTCATTTAATCTTTTATTCCTGTAAAGTGCTTTAGTGTAAACAAAGCTTAAGTGAGTAACAAGATATATAATAGCTTACCTTCTAGCTGTATCTTGATAAAATCTAAACAAAACTAAAAAAACAAGACAAATTAATGCCAATCTAGATTTATGAAGACTTTGCTACAAACACCATAAATGACATTATTTGGCACCGAGACAACAAAGGGCAGAAGAACCGAATCATCTACCATGTACTTAAATATAAATGTAAAATAAGAGATCCTCCCCACTTCCAACTTCTCTCTCAGAAAGGCAGGCTTCACCTTTTTTATTCAAGTGCTGAGAATATTCTTATACTACTGATTTATTTCTCATAACTTCAAAGATAAGCTGACAAAATATTACAATAAATACTTGAATACTCATACCCAAATTCACTGTTAATATCTTCCCACACCTACTCATTCTATGTATATAGTTATTTCCCATTTGCTAAACCAGCATAAAGGCAGAGGTTCATTACAACAGCTAAGAAAATTAAAATTAACTTCATTCAACATACAATTCATACTCAAACTGAGTTCTTATTCAAATATCCCCAACTGCTCAAAAGTGTTCTTTATTGCTGCCTTAACTTTTCCCCAATTGATGATTCTGTCAAGGTAACGTTACATCAGTCTCCTTTGTCTACTCCCGTCTAGAACAGAAAGAAACCTCCCTCTGTTCTTCATGACATGCCCTTTGAAAAATCCAAGCTAGGTCCTAAAAATGTACAATACCCTGGACTGCACCACATCAAAAGGAACATGATGTCAGGCAGCTCCACTACTGATACAAGCTTACTCACTTGTTGAAGGCAATGTGTCAAGTCTTTCCACTGTAAAGATTTTTTTTCTATTTGTAATTAAATGGTAATCTGTGGAAAGATACTTGAAAGCCTGTGAATATCCTGTTTCTTAATAACCTTTCATTCAATGACTTTAACATCTATGGAAGATCTTGCCTAAATTAGTTATTATTAGAGGTTATAAAAAGTTGATTTGCTAACTATTTTAATGTGGAGAAGACATATTAAGCCTGATACACCCTGAATTAATAAACATTTTGAGTGTTTACTTAAAAGAATCAAAAAAGGACACAAGAACTTAAATGCATTAAAAAATAAGCTGGATTGATACACAGAGGGATGAACAGATACATGAAAAGCAAATTTAGTAAAATGCTAATGGCAAAATCTAGCTGGGAGTTTTATGAGTGTTCACAGTAAAATCCTTTCAACTGTTTTGTTTGAAAATTCTCACAGTGTAAAAAAGGAAGCAAGAAAATACAAAATAAATTTAGTTACTACAATTGCAAAGTCCAGAATGTCACTAAAATACCTTCTAAAGATCATGTTTAAAAGTAATACATTAATTCGTTTCACTGGAAAGCAACACGTTAATTAGAGACATCAAGAATAGGTACCTGTGGCATGGGAGACATTCCAACAAACATAGAAGCTGAAGTTATAGCCTTTAGAAAAGTGTGTCAGATGACTCAAAAAGTAGTAATAAGAATGACATAAACAATAAAGTGGAACCATTTGAATAAAACTGTTGCCTGAGATATCTGCCATTTAAAAATGTGTATAACTAATTATTCAAGTATTAATATATAGTATTCCTAACAAGCCATTTTCCTGTTAAATAAAAGTACTGACTTTTAAATAAAACTAGCACTTCTACATGATGCCAATTCTAACACTGAGTGAATTTAAAATAATTAAATTACCTAATAATGTTATAAAAATGGATAAAACATTTAGAACAGAAAAATATTTAGAATCTGTTTCTCAGATTAATAATGACATGTCAGATAAACCATTTCAGTGCAAAACATAAAGTTCAAAAAGAAAATGACAGTTCAAAAAAAAAAAAGTCAAATCATCTTTTAATACACTATCTGAAGAAATTACAGATCCACCATACCTTAGCAAAATGGTACTTTGGGAAAATCCCACAGTACAAGGAAGATTAGTAACAGATTGCAAACTTCCACATTATAAGCATAACTACTTTTTGGCTGAAATATTTCATTTAGCATTTTAACTTTTTAAAAAACCCCTATATAGCAACACATTTTATATTATACATACTGCCTTTTATTTTTTAAAGTAAATTCACAGTTTTTCTTCACTAGATCATATACATATTAATCTGTAACTTTCATGTAAAAAAATTTAATTAAAATTTTGATGTAGTTCTTGCTAGATAGTCTTGAGACAATCCAACTTTCAACTAAATTATCAGCCTTAATTATCAGACCAAGGAGTTCTGAATAATGGTGCTCTGAATAATGTGAGGAAAAGCCATAAAACCTAGAGGAAACTCTTGGAAATTTCTGAAGTATAAGACACAGAATAACATTTTTGTTACCTGACAGTACCAGGAAAGATAATCTGTATCATGAAGGCTTGCCACAAAACAGGAGCTTCATAAATCCCTGAAAACCCTGATGTATAACAACGCTACTGGGCAATAATGAATAGTCTATACATAATTTGCTTTAAATCTCTAGAGTACTTAACATTCTAGTTTTTAAATCGCGAGAAGAGTATGTAACATTCTAGTTTTTAAATCATGAGAAGCTGGAGTTTTTTGATGAAAAAGGAAAAACATTTGCTGGTTTCCCATACGGCTTTTCTCTCGTAAGAAATCAGGTCTACATTTCATTTTCTACTATAAACTAACCTATAAAGTTTCCCCCCCACTTTTGATCATATTTATTCTAGAATCATGAATTCTAGAAAATAAATAGCTATTATTTACCATAATTTAGATAATAATAAAACCACCTCTTTCCTGATATAATAGAATGTGTTTTCTTAAAGATACTGCTTTAAGTATAAAGAACAACACTCAGAGACAGAGTTCAAAAGGTTAGAAATGGATAGTCAGGCACATCAAGTTAAGGAATTATAAAATAAAGGCTTACAAAATAGTGCAGTGCTAAAGGAAGATTAATTTACCAACAATGTACAGAACATATCAGAAAGAAGAAAAATGATGACCAAGAAGCCTAGTAAAGATTACACTAAAATTTCAAATAGAAAATGCACATTTGAATTGGGTAGCAGTAAAATAGTAAGAAAACAGGTATGACAGATAAAAGGACTATAGAAAGTCCTTTGGGTTTTGTGGACACTAAACTAACTAGTCCAGTGCCTTCTAGGTGGCTATTATAGTCCAATAATCCATTTCTAGGAATCAGTGCTGCAAGACATTTTTCTGCAGGCTCCAAAACTTTTGGATTTTTCTTTGTCGTTATATTCTTTAAAATACTCTTTTCATGTATTGAGCTGGCATTAAGAATTAAATAGTAAGATATTGGAGAGTTTTCTAACTCAGTGAAAATACTAAGTATCTTCCCACAATGAATATGTCACTACCTTGAACACTCAATTATGAAAAAGTTTTTACTCACTGATTTTTATGGTGAGGAGTTATTTATGGTTGTTTATATACTCTTACATAAATATAAAATCTTAAAATAATTTTAATATGCTATTAAATATTTTAACTTTCAAATTTTAAAGTATTACATATTAGTCTTAGCCAGAGAATTTTGGATCTTTTAATTGGTACAATGAGCATTTAAGGATGTACTTACAATTACAGGCTCTGTTAATAGCCGAAAGAGTGTTCCTACTCGTATACTTCGACATCGTAAAATGACACTTTCAAAGGAATTTTGGCAGCTTACAGGTACAGGATCAACTAGAGTTTCTTGAGAAATCACTTTGCGACGTTTCTGAGGTGTGTTGATAATAGAATTACCAAACTGAAAAAGAAAAAAAAAATCACTTAGTAAGTTACTAAAAACAAGGCTGTGAACTAAGTATACATACGAAGACCCAATATGAGAAATATAATTATCAAAACATAAGATTAATTTTACTTCAACAGTGTTAGATGAAGTAAAAATTTACTGATTTTATATAATAGTAAACCCTTCTATTTTATATAGCTATACTTTATCTAGTTATTACTCAAAATTCAAATAATAGCACAGCAGTGAAAAATGGTATGCTAGGAATCAGACTGCTTGGCTTCAAATCACAGCTATACCATCTTTTAATGACCAGATTTTGTAAATTTAATAACTCTGTAAGTTTTGATTTCCTAAACTGTAAAATACGAAGAGTAAGAGTAACTACTCAAATGAATTAATGCCTATAAGCAGCGTAGCATAGTGATGCACAGTAAAACACTAGATAAAAGTTTACTAGTAAAAGTGGTAGTGGTTGTAGAACTTGGGATTAAAGCAACAATTCTTTAGAAAACAGGTAATTTAGGAGTATGGTTATTTGCATTAAAAAAGGATGCTTCTTCATATATTTAATTTTTTAAACTACTTGATTTGTTAAATATTTCAGTCATGTCCTACTGCAAATTAATTATAATATAAAATATTTTATATAACTATAATTTAAATTAGTTCTGTTAAAAACTTTATTATTGTCACAAGTATAAAACATCTTGATAAAAAAACAAGAGGAAAAAAAATGTCCAATGCATAGAGGTAGGCACTATTTTCATTATACCTGTAGAGACATTTCTGTGATCTATGTCACAGGAAAATATTAAAACAAAATGTGACACAAACATATTTATTCCTGTAAACTGCTCTTTCAGGCTTATTAACAGATTTATCATAAAGATTTTCCCACATACTAATAGAAACCTATCAGATAGGTTTTAAAACGTTTTTTAGCATTAGAATTCTTTCTTCAAATGAAATGTTACTAAGTTCAATAATAAAATAGATCATTAAGAACTGCTCCAGCCTGGCTGGGCATGGCTCAGCAGTTGAGCACTGACCTAGGATCCAGGCAATCAGGGTTCGATCCCTGGTCAGGGCACATGCTCGGGTTGTGGGCTCGATCCCCAGTCGGGGGTGTGCAGCAGGCAGCCGGTCAATGACTCTCTTCAGTGATGCTTCTCTCTCTCTCCCTCTCCTTTCCTCTCTCAGAAATCAATAAAGATATATTGGAAAAAAAAAAAAAGAACTGCTCCAGCTGAACCTATAGTAGTAAGACTGAGTGTAGAACTAGGGTGGTCCATATCCTCTCAAAGAACCTCTAAAAGATCTCTGAGGAACCCTAATTGTTCAGTATGCCAGTTTGAAAATGGTCTCACACAAATTCTATCATGTGAAAATCCATTATTTATTTAACTGAATTCTCCTATGCTGACACCTGAGTTATTTCTGACCTTTTCCCGTGACACACTATTCTCCAAAAAGCATTTTTGCAGCTAAATCCTGGGATATATATAACTATTGCCAAATTGCCCTCCAGCATAATTATTTTACCCATTTACACACCAAACATTCCATTTCTCTGAACATTAACCAAAATGAGATACTACTGTACTTTAAAAGCTTTTCAGTAATGACAGTTAATAAAATGTGTTGTTTTAATTTAATTTTCAATACTATTATTTTGAACTCTGTTCATTTCCATTACTCACTTTCCTATGATTTGCTTCCATTTCTTGATTTTTAAGAAATTAAAAATATATAAAGGACCAACTCACACTGTCATACAGTTCACTATTTTTTTCTTCATTTGCATTTACCTATCAAATTATGTTTATGATGTTTTGCTACATGGTTCTGTACTTTTCATTTAATCAAATATATTCCTCTCTTCGTGCTAAAATGTTTGGAAAGGCATCCTTCAAGAGTGCCTTAAAAATATTAATCCACATTTTTTATCCATAGAATTGCTTTTTATTTTTAATTTCTTATGGCTCCCATCTTAATAACCAAGTATGTATGTTTCCATACTTATATCTGTACTCCTACAATCCCTACAGGTACGTGTAAACCCACATATAATTTCTTTTGCATCCTCACCCAAAGATATATTCCTATTGGTTTCTTTTTTTCTGAGAGAGAGGAAAGAGGACAGAGAAAGAAACATCAACTGGCTGCACCCATCCCCCTCAACTCACCCCAAAAGGGAATCAAACCTGCAACCTTTTTGGTGTACGGATGATGCTCCAACCAACTGAGCCAACTGGCCAGGGCCCCATATAGAATTTTTTTACAGGTCTTCTATTTTTTTTTAAAGTTATTTACAAAAATAAGAGAATATGCACATATTTCTGCATCTTGGTATTTCCATTTAACAGTACCATGTAGAAATCCTAAGTCATTAATATAACTTATTTTTTTTGTCAGTGGCTGCACAATAGTCCATAGTGTGTATATACCATACTTTTTTCATCCATTTCTGTATTAATGGGCAATGATTTTCTATGCAGTAGTACGCCAAGAATCATGTTTATACATAGTCTCATGTACTGGAGAGGAGGGATTCCTTTGAAATTGAGTCTAAGGAATGAATTATTTGGTCATTCAGTATGCATTTAAAATTTTTCAGTAGATACTTTTACACTGCTTTCCCCAAAGGTCATAACAACTTTCTTTTCCATCAACAAATTACAAAAGTACTCTTTTCCTCAGATTCTTGCCAAAAGTATATATTAATGGATTTTTGTATAAATTTTGAAAGTCTGCTTAGAATATGGTTATATTTTATTTTCCTTAATTGACACTCCCTTACTAATTTGCACTTTTCCTGTGGTAGTCTATTATCTAACTTTTTGTCTATTCCCTTTTTTTCATTTTCATGTTTTCTTCAACCTTTAAGTTCTTAGTCTATTACAGATATTAACATAGTGTATGTCATCTGCATCATAAATATTCCCCTCTAGATCTATTGTTTGTATATTGACATAATTTTTATCTTTTCCATCTGAACACTGTGAAAATTTTATACAGTAAAACATAATACTCTGGTTTCTCTTCAGATTGCATAAATCTTTCACCTTTTACAATAAAACATAATACAGTAGAACAATGATGTAGTTGAACACAATCAAGTTAAAAATGACTTCTCCCTGTCCCCAAATTATATAAGTATACTAGTTTATACTTACATTTGCTATAGCAATAATAGTTTCTTCTTGCTGAATATTTTACACTTTAAGCTGCAATTTAATGGACTGTTCTTCCAAATTATCTTCAAGTGGTATTTTAAGTCCCACTGAATGAGTAATTCAACTTTTTCTCCTATTAAAAATGCCAAATTATCCTCCCAACAAAACATCCCAAAGGAGACACAGAATCTGAATAAATGTCAATAAATGTAAAAAGTACCTGATCTTTCATTCTTGCTTTTCTTGGCAACGGAACTGTATTTAACTCTGAGTCTGCTGGAATGCTTCTTAGTTCATGGTCTCCTCTACAGGTATTTTCATTTAGTGCTGCTTCTACTTTTCCAGTGGATGGTGCTGGGGAAGAACATGCTGAATCAGCAGGTTGAGGAGATATGCTCTCTCTTCTGTTAATCCTGTCACTGTCATCATCATCATCACTGGATAAAATGACTATAAAAAATGTTAAATACTTCATGTATTTCATTTCTGGTGGTTAAAAATGTAAATATATTACCAAAATGGGGAATATACCAAATTTGCTTTGGATCTCCTCCAGATCTGAGATTAATAAAAACAAATAAAGAAATAATCCACTCTATCTAGTGAAAAGTTAAATTTATAAAACAAAAATAAAGCATCAGAACTGACATTTTTTTTACAACATACAAATACGAAATTGATTCTATAGTCCATCATCATCACCCACAAAGAAACATACACCAGATAATGTTTAATCAGTAGGTCTATTTCAAAATTCCAAAAAGCTAAAGTATGAAGATAATCTGCACACAAATTGTTCACAAAATAGCATGCATTTTAAATGTGTGTGAAAATTCATGAGGCCAAATAATTTTATCTCTAAAATCACTAAAATCATAACTGGTCCTAGGGAGAACTTGGACTAGTGCCCAATGCTCAATTAATCTTGTTGAATAAATGAGCATGGGCAAGAAAAGACATTATGAAGGTAATTTACTCTTTTTTAATTTTTTTTATATATTTTTAAATTTTATTTTTGTTTAAAATATTAGTAATTTACTCTTATACCTTGTACTTACTATTAAATTTTATCAAACCCATCTCTCTATCATAATTCCCCAGAGCCACCCACACTGCACTAACTCCTTACTCTGGTTTATAAATGTACATAATCTGGCCCTTGCCCATTTCTCCAACTTTCTTACACTACTCCATTTTTCCACTTTTATGCTCCAGACAAAGTAGCCATTTATTCTGTTCCTCAAATACCGCAAGCTTGTTCCTGTCTGGATTGCAATTCCCCTAACGCTTTGTACTTTTGTCATCAAGTGTTAGCTTAAATATTATTTTCTGCTTGACTATGCAATCTAAAGTAAACACACGGGAACTTGCTTATTCACACCAAGTAATTTAAATTCTCTTTTTGTTGTGCATGTTTACTTGCCCATTTGTCTCTTCCCACTACATATAAACTATGTCCTGTCCACTACTATATTCCAAAAGTCTAAAACAGTGCTTGGCACAGAAAACGAATACAAAAATCATCTGTTGAAAAATGCATAAACTTCTAGGAGCAATTTTCTTATCTAGTATCCCACACATAAAGGCTTAGGTGAGATTTTCTGAGTAATATCAATGTCCCCAGCATCTTTTTAATTTTGCTGTCTAGTCTCAGGAGCAAATGCTAAAGTTGGATCATTTTCAGAACTGCTACTTTATTGATAGAATACCTAACAGACCAGATTAGATGGTCTAAGCAGATTTACACATATTCTAAAGTTAGGGTTTTGCCAAGTACTTGCTATTTGAGCTTTTCCTCTCTGTAAAATGAGAATACTGGTACCTATTTCAAAGGACTGTCACAAGAACATATGTAAAAGGCTTATTAGCACATTGCCTAGTATTCTATCTACAATTATTTTTATGGTGCTTTAGGAATACTGAAACTTCCATATCTACTATATCAAAAACTTATTTTAAAGCCCCAATGCTGCAACAGGTAGACCTGTACTACATAGTTCTTGTTTTACTAACTTAAAATAAATGAGTTGTGCTCAATGTCACCATATTTCCAAAGCAAATGGGGAGTGTACAATGTTATATAGTTAAAAAGCTGTTTCACAGCTGCTCTAATTCTATATAAAATATATTCTAATAAATATCTAAGATTCTTTATCAGTATGTGCCACAAACCGAACTGTGTTTCCTTAAAAATCTATGTTGAAGCCCTAATCCCCAGTGTGACTACATTTGGAAATAGGGTCTACAAGGAGGTAATAAAGGTTAAATGTGATCAAAAAGGTAAAGCCTTAATCTGATAGGACTGGTGACCTTAATAAAAGAGAGGATGCCAGAGGTCTCTCTCTGTGCATGCACAGAAGGCAACATGAGGGCACAAGAGAAAGGTGGCCATCTACATGCCAGGAAGAGAGGCCTCACCAGACACACCCACCCTGATGGCACCTTGATCTTGGACTTCCAGCCTCCAGAACTGTGAGAAAATAAATTTATGTTGTTTGAGACACTCTGTGGTATTTGTTATGGCAACCCAAGTACACTAATATACGGTCTTTGTATTTATATTCCAAACTTGTTCCCATAAATGTCAGCATGTCTTCCTCCTTCATTCTGGCTCAGTTCAAAAGTTACTTTATCAAAAGTGCCTACTACATCATCTATCTTAAATAGCACCCTTTCTGACACCTTACAATTGTCAATCTCTATTCCTTGGACCTGCTTCACTTTTCTACAAAGAATTTACTACTACCTGAGACTGCGCATTTTATTATTTGACCACCCACAACATAATAAAAGCTAGATAATAAACTACTATTTAAATAGAAATACAAATTTAAGAATGATTAAGTATATAAAGAAAATAGACTTTGGAACCAAAAAAATGTTTTTTAAAATCTACACTCCAGCCTGGCTGGTGTGGCTCAGAGGTTGAGCATCAACCTACCGATTACTGGTCAGGTCACATGCCCAGGTTGTGGGCTTGACCCCAGTTGGGGGCATGCAAGAGGCAGCCAATCAATGACTCTCATCATTGATGTTTCTATCTCTCTCTCCCTCTCCCTAAAATCAATTTTAAAAAATTAAAAAAAAACACTACATTCCAACAGTCCATATGTATATATTATTTATTTAATCTCAAGCCTAGATTGCTTTATTTATAAAATGGGATGTATTAGTGCCTCACATGATTGTGAAAACTAAATTAAACAGATTAGTGTATAAACCTTTACCAAAAAGCAAGGAATATAAGCATGCAATAAATGGTATCTTTTGTTATTAATATGAAATGTTCTTAAAATAGAACATAATTTTTTTCATGTACGACATGGGAAGTACTTAGTCTTTTAAATAAAAAAAAATTTATGTTTTATGGTTTTAATTCATGGTTGATACTGTTAAGCTCTGAAAAGTGAACTGTTTAATACACTGTGTAAGAACCACATGAATTTATTTCCTTATATTATCAGCCTACATGGTTAATGCAGTCATAGTATTTATTTTGGATTTTTTAGCTTATCAACTTGGCCTTATTAACTTCTCATTCCCCTTATCTTGGAAACTTCCTCAGAATGCTGTTTCCTATATAAAGCTTGGCTCTGTAATAATACACAGTAACTGCCTAGTAAGAGTTTTCTTCATATCTTACCATTAATAAAAACATCACCATTAGAAAAGATTAAAACGAATTAATAATATTTAATATTACACTGGTATAACACTAAAATGTATCATAAAATATTCACCAAATATCAACATTATCATATCATAACAGAGCATAGGTGCACAGCTATCATACAGTATCTTTTTAAAAATATGTTCTGAGAAATAAGCTAATGTATTGGTACAAGCTAAGGTTTTTATATTGAAATAGAACTTTACATTTCTAAGGTTAAAAAAAAAAAAAAAAGCTTAATTTTTTCCCTTTATTTACCAGTATTCAGAGTAATGATTAAGAACCTTATGCAATCTCCAAAAGTAACCAATGGAGTTTTTCTTTTGGGGGAAGTTGAGGGATATAATTATAAATGGATTGACTTTAATATATTTGACATATTTCAAAAAATAGTAGCTATGATTCTGTTTGTGACCCAAGTATCCCCATCATTGGTCAATGAGAACTCTTTCATTTTAGCTCCTGTGTCCTTTGACATGTCCATAGTAGTTTCTGACAGCTTCCATGCTTCCTGATATGACCAGATGATCTAGGTTTATTAATACATGTGTGCTCCAGACCGGGAGTAGGAAATTTCTCTGAGGAACTTTGGTTATTTTTAGTGGGAAATGATATTCAAAAACACAAATACGGGAATTTGGGTTGTTTGTTTCTATATGAGGGTCACTTAGTTTCTAAGCATTTTCTATGGGTAAAGCTAGGAAATACTTTTCTATTTAAGAAAAAATATACAGTAAGTTCATATTACCTCTGATTCAAATTCAAAGCTACAAGATATCGATTTCTTTGGTTTTACCTTTGTATTCCGTTCTCTAACACTGAAAATCTTGGTTTCTGGAGACAACAATATAATTGCTTCTCTGCTTTATCAATGTGTTTTAAAATCCCAATACCAATAATATTAACAACAATATTAGTAACTACACTTAGGATTTCTTTGTAGTTCTGTTTGACCTTAAAATATCTCACATTAGGATGGACAGCTACAATATTATATTAATTTAAATTCATCTGAAATAATTCATCTGTGTGTTCAAGCTACCAACGAGATATATAATGACATTTCATTTCATTTTAGTTTTGATTTTGTTTTTAAATATTTGCAATTTTACTCTCTTTTATAATCATGTAAAATGTTTACATGGTTCCAAAGTCAAATATATAAAACAAGTATGTATGTAGACATCTAGCATCTATCCCTGATTCCCACGCTGTTTCCTGCCCTTCCAACCAACTACTTTTAAAATCAGTTTCTGGTATATCTTTCCATTTAAAAAAAGAACAAAAAACCCAAACACCTACATTCATTCTCTCACCCTTCATAAACAAAGGGTAGCATACCATACACTGATATTTACTTTGTTTTACTCATATATTAACAGGTCTTGGAAATCACTTACACAATACTAAATCATATCTTTCTCCCCTTTTACAACTACATATGTTATAGTTTATACAACCAGTCCCTGATGGTTTCAAGTCTTTTGCTATTTATTATAACAGGGCTACATTCCATATACACACACGTATGCACGTGTCTAAATATAGGAAAAAAGATTTAGGGGAGAAAGAAATTGTAAAGAAACTAATTTTCACTGCATTCTTTCTATCTGTCAAATATTTTATTGCGCTATACTAGGCACTTTACATGTTACTTTATTTACTCCCTCAAAAACACTGTCAATGAGCCTGGCCAGCATGGCTCAGTGGTTGAGCATCAACCTGTGAACCAGGAGGTAGAGGTTCGATTCCCGGTCAGGGTACATGCCTGGGTTGGGGGCTTGATCCCCAGTAGAGGCGGATAGGCGGTAGCCCATCAATGAGTCTCTCATCAGTGCTGTTTCTATCTTTCTCCCCCTCCCTACGTCTCTCTGAGATCAATAAAGACATATTTAAAACACAAACAAACAAAAAAACACAGTGTCAACGAGGAAATGTATCCATTTACAGGTCAGAGAGATTAAATTAACCAGGCCAAAGTTAGAAAGCTGGACATACCTGGAACCTGAACTTGACCTAGAGCTGAGGCCAAGTTCTGTGCTTTCATTATTTATGATGTAAAGGATAAGAACAGAGTCAGTTATTATTTTCCAACTATGAGAACAGTTTTAATCATCTACCCATAAAATGTTACATAACGAACACAAGACACATCAAAACACTTCTCAAATATACTCATTTTCACTTTAAAAATATATGTGAAAAATGTTGGACTGATATAAGCAATGCCAAAGGGAGTAAAACACTTACTTGGATCATTTTGGTCTGACAGGTTTGTTTTCCTTTCTTTTAGGTTTGTGGTTTTGGCTCCTTTTGCCCTAGGTAAAACGACTTTCCCATTAGTCTGTAAATAATTCTGTCTGTCACCACAATTCACAATAATATCAATTGGAACCTTTCCCACACTGTTGCCATAAAACTTCTTGGGTGTTAATGCTGTGTTTTGTGACTTCTGTCCTCCAGAATTCTGATGATTTGACGTTCTTAATAATGGTCCAGTTGATTCATTTAAAGATATAGCTTGTCTGCAATTTCTCTGCAAATCCTTAGGAAAAAGAATACCACAATTTTGGTGTTTAGTCTGAATTTCTTTTTCTTGTCCACATTTTGGACAATATTCACACTGTTCAGAAAACTTAAGTCCAAAAAAAATAAAAGACTTTGGCATTTTATTTCAACATCATGGAACAAACACAAAATTTAAAAATTAACACTTTTACTCCCTATCATCATCACCATGGCTACCACAAAAATCCTAAATATGTCATTTTAGCTAGAATTTAGCAGCACAATGCTGAAGAAATTTTTGAGACCTTCTGGTCCAGTAGTTTCCAAACTGGACTATGTATCCAACGCAATGGCTACATGAAGATTTTAAAAAGCATTCAGGGCATAAGTGATCTTAAGGAAATCAATATCTAGATTCTCAATTTCTACATATAACCTTTCCAAAAACCTAATATGATTATGCTTCTGGTGTCAAAGCATCTCCTGCCACAACTGCTCTTCTCCTTTAAAAAAAAGAATGCTAAACCCATCCTCTGTTTAAAATGTTACAATGGTGTATTTCCCTGGGGTATAAAAACCACCAAGCCAAACCAAAGGATAATTTTAAATGTTGAAAAACATAAATAAATTATAAGTACTGGTTAACAAATCTTTGCAAGACAACTGATTTCTAACATAGCGCTTCAAAAATATTTACAGGCAGGCCCCAGCCTGTTTTGCTAGTGGTCAGAGCATCGGCCCATGTACTGAAGGGTGCCGGGTTTGATTCCAGTCAAGGGCACACATCCCATTTACAGGCTCTATCTCAGTTCCAGTCAGAGGCCTGGGGGAAGCAACCAATTGATGGGTCTCTCTTCCATCGATGTTTCTCTCTCTCTCTCCCCCTACCTTCCACTCTCTCTAAAAAAAATCAATGGAAAAAATATCCTCGAGTGAGGATTAACAACAACAACAAAATTTACAGGAAGGCCTACTCTAGGTTACAACTGTGAGATTAAAAAATGTTTTTTGACAGTAGAGTATCGTGTGGCTTGGGGCATGTAACTCAGAAGTTCAAGGTACTGAGTGATATTTATAATATAATTCTTTCCACAGCCATGTACTTATTTATGTGAACAAGGTTCCTCAGAACTTACATCTATAAGAAGGAAACACAGGAATAGATGTTGAATCCTGTCACGGTATGTAACATATATTTATCCATGGACACGTGAAGTAATTGAGAACAAGTCAATGGATCTAATTAAAAGATGCATTTCCAATAACTTTATACCAAATAATTACTTATTAAACATTGTAACAACTTATAGTTTTAATCTATTAATAATTATTTTTATATGTTATATGTATTTATACTGTTCTTTTTTAAAACTTAAGTATAACTGGTGTACAATATTATATTAGTGTCAGGTGTATAATATAGTGATTTGATATCTAGATACCTTACAATGCGATCACCACACTAATTCTAGTAATAATCTGTCACCCTGCAAACTTATCACAATATTACTGACTATATCCCCCTTCACCTTTTTCACCCATCATTCTTTATTCCTCCACTCTGGCAACTATCCATTTAATCTGTTTATATGAGTCTGTTTTTGTTTTTAATATTGGAAATAATCTAAAAGACAATTTTTTTAATACTCTGAACCTCATATCTCAAGAAATTAAGTGAATAAATATTTTTTGTGACAATTAAATGATAGAATGAGATAATTATTAAGACCTACTGCGTTTGGATGCTACTAGGTCCATATATGAGGAGAGAGATCTAACCATTCTATTTCAAAATTACTTTCTGTGAGACCATTTAAACTTGGGATGAAAATGTTCAAAGTCAATTTAAAAATACCTAAGTAAATACATAGTTATTTAAAACTCTTTTAAATCTTTTAAAAGTGACAGAAGTCATCAAGTGGTTGCAGGACTGACTAGTAGGTGGTAGCTATAAGAAATTACATGTGTATATACAAATATCAAAATTCTTTTAACTGAATGTTTAAATCTTATACATTTTACGCTATGTAAATTTATAAGTCAAAAATATAGAAACTACGCAAGCAAAAAAGTCTAAAGACCACTGCTCCAATCTTATCTCCTTGTTTTAAGTGTGAAAAAACTGACAAAGAAATTATTTACCTTGCCTAACAGATCAATAACAGTGCCCCTCTCTTAAACCACATTACCTACTCAAGGATCTACCCCAGATAACAAAAAGAAATGAAAACCAATTCCTGTCAAGATGGTGGGTAAACATGGTACTCACCTCCTCCCACAACCACATCAAAATTACAACTAAACTACAGAACCACCATCATTCAGAACTGCCTGAAATCTGGCTGAATGGAAGTCCTATAAGTAGGGAATTAAAGAAGAAGCCACTGAGACTAGTAGGAGGGGTAAAGTTGTGGAACTGGCTAGTCCCACAACCACGTGTGGCAGTTTAAAATTGTTGGGCTACTCGGCTGTAGATCCAGGGGTCCCAGTGCCACACCAGTCCCCCAGTTCAGAGTTGAAGTGCTGGAAAGAGAAGTCCCCATAACTGCGGGCTGTAAAAATCAGCAGATTGAGGCTGAGTGACACAGAGGCTGCTGGAGCCCAGGCATTCCTCTTAAAGGGCCCACACATGGACTTACTGTGACTCACTCTCTCTGAGCTCCAGCACTGCTTGAAAGGAACCTGGAACTTTTGGTGAGGAACGAACTTGTATGGAAACAGGGCAAGAGCTGGCGGGGGAAGCTTTGTCCCAGGCAGAAGTGCTTGTAAAGGCCATTTTTCCTTTGCTGAGCCTTCCTGGCCAGAGAGCCAACAGGCAGGTGCCATATCTGACTTTCCATAACCTGGCTCATACTTTTCGCCCCTCCCTACATTCAGGCTCATCCAAGCCATTTCCAGTGGCTTTTCCATACAACTGGCCTCTCTTGCCTCATGATTCAGACTTTCCTAAAATCTCTCAAACAAGCGGCAGCTGACCTCAGCGTGCCCTGTACCACTCAATAAGTGGCCCCAGGCCTGGCACTAGTGGCAGCCCTCCTTGGCTTACAGCTTGGCCTCTCCTGGGTACCTCCAAGCCCAACATAAGCATCAGCCATCTGCAGATCGCTCTGTAGCTTGTGCCAGGTATCCCCAGCCAGTGACTGACACTGACTCTCCCGGGAGGCCCCAGAGCCAGTGCACCTGGTGGTTGGCTTCAGACCACACTGGAGTACAACCCTACCAGATGCACGAGCAACACTCAAGGGGCAGACTCGGTGAAGCAAATCCCCACTGAAGCAAATCCTGCTCCACAAGATCAACTCCTGCACAGCAGCTCTTCTGCTTTAGTCATAGCCGATCCTCAAAACCTACTGGCCTCTCTCCCAGTGACACCAACATCAACCAAAGCTCAACTACAATAGGACAGTGCACACAGCTCACACAGGGGTGCAGCTAGGGGTGCCCAGCTCAGATGCCGGGGGAGACTGAGCCACTGGGCCCTACATGACACCTATTACACAAGGCACTCAACCAAGCTTGGGAGACATAGCAGATCTTCCTAATTCATAGAAACAAACACAGGGAAGCAGCCAAGATAAGGAGACAAAGAAACATGTTACAAATGAAAGAACAGGAGAAATCTCCAGAAAAATAACTGAATGAAATGGAAGCAAGAAAACTACCAGATACAAAGTTCAAAACAATGAATGCTCAAGGAACTTACTGAGAACTTCAAGGAACTTAGTGAGAACATCAACAACATAAAAGTGGACCAGTCAGAAATGAAGGATATACTAAATGAAATGAATAATTTACAGGAAATCAAAGGTAGCATAGAGGACACCGAAAATCAAATCAGCAATTTGGAATACAAGGAAGCAAAAAACACCCAATCAGGACAGCAAAAAGAAAAAATCCAAAAATATCAAGACAGCGTAAGGAGCCTCTGGGACAACTTCAAGAGGCCCAACATTCACATTATGGGGGTGCCATAGGAGAAGAGAAAAGCAAGAAATTGAAAACCTATTTGAAAAAATAATGGCAAAAACTTCCCTAACCTGGTGAAAGAAATGGACATACAAGTCCAGGAAGCACAGAGAGTCCCAAACATGATGAACCCAAAGAGACCCAAACCAAGACACATCATAATTAAAATGCAAAAGGCTAAAGACAGAGATTCTTAAAAGCAGCAGGAGAAAAGCAGTTATTACCTACAAGGGAGCACCCATAAGACTACTGGATGATTTCTCAACAATTAACTTTGCAGGCCAGAAGGGAGTGGCAAGAAATATTCAAAGTGATGAAAACCAAGGACCTACAAAGCCAAGATTACTCTACCCAGCAAAGCTATCAATTTAGAATTGAAGGTCAGATAAAGAGCCTTCCCAGACAAGAAAAAGCTAAAGGAATTCATCACCACCAAACCAGTACTATATGAAATGTTAAAGCGTCTTCTTTAAGAAGAAGGGGGAAATAAAAAATATGAACAATAAAATGACAATAAATACATAATCTACCCATAGCTGATTCTAAAAATCAAAATAAATGGACAAGCAGAACAGAAACAGACTCATAGATACAGAGAACATTTTGATGGTTGCCAGATGGGAGGAGGTTGGGGGCATGGGTGAAAAAGGTGAAGGGACTTAGAAGCACAAATTAGTTATAGTGTAGTCATGGGGGTATAAACTATAGCATACGAAATATAGTCAATAATATTCTAATAACTATGTGTGGTGTCAGATGGGTATGAGATTTTTCAGGATGATCACTTAATAAATTTTATAATGTCAAATTACTGGGTATACACCTGAAACTAATATAATATTGTATGTCAACTATAATTGAAAACTTTTAAAGTGATTTTCAAAAAAAGGGATAAAAACCAAATTTCAACCAGGGCAAAACTGAACTTAGTAAAACATCAGCTCACCATCTCAGCATATGTGGGTTATTAAAAAAGATGTCTCTTTCTCTGACAGTACATGGGAGAATTCTGTTATGCTATTTGTGGAATAAAGGTATAAGGAAATTATTTTTCTCATAGCACTTTCAACA